GCCGGCCTCCAGAGACTCCACTTGGCCTACGGCCGCACAGCCGGCCTCCAGAGACTTTGCTTGGCCTCGCCCACCTTTGGTGTTTTGTTTTGTGTTTAAACTCTGTTTTTGGACCCTAGCTCCCTTCTTGTCTCTGTTCACACCTTATCCCAATCTGCTAATTAGCCTGGTCTTTGTTTGTCTCTCCCATTTCATCAGCAAAGACGACAAACCAGCCCCCTTGTTTTGAGTATTCCTTGCCTTCAGTATTTTTGTATTATTGTGGATTTATGTTTTGGATTTTTGCTTCTGTTGAACTTTTGGTTAATTTAACTTCAAGAACACTCCCTCAGCTTCAGTCTGTGTTTGTGTCCTGTCAAACCTCCAGCACCATGGTGACAGTTAAGTACGAGAGAGAAGGAGCAGAACAGAGCTGCAGTTCTGTGTTTTGGCCAGTGGAGGCGGTATTATTGGAAGACTAAGTAATGCTTTTTTAAGGTAAGTAAAGCTTAGCTCCTTTATTTGTTCTTTGTCTAAAAACAAACAGCCCCATGATGTAGCTCAACAATTAATGAGGATAAGTGTTTGATCATACAAGCTTACTTTCATAAAAAGATTTGTAATTTTTTTCACTATGTCAGACTCACCACTGGTAAGTGAAAATGGGGACTATCACGTTGGATGGCCTTACGTAAACATATCACCAGAGTTCTTGATAACTAGGAGGACCACTGAGTTTGATGATCCACCCAGAAAAAGAACATCCTCAACTATACATTTAATTATTGAGGGGGACTTTAAAGGTATACTATGCAACCGTTGTTGATTTTCCAGCGAGGCTCCCCCCAGAGGGGGGCATGTAGCAGTTCCCGCCGTAAAGCAAGACAGACTCTCGTGATGCACGAGACTTCTGAGTCTGTGGGTGCGGGCCGAGGGCTCCTGCAATTGCAAGTACGGTATTTCCCCTACAGACCACCAGGGCGGCCGAGAAAACCTTTGTTCGACCTAAAATGACTCATTTAATCATCCAAAACGTTATGGAACACATTAATTAACTGAGAAATGTTGCATAGTATGCCTTTAATGTACATGTTTACAACTCTGAAGACAGAGGTACAAAAGAACTATGTACTTAAACATTTTGGTTTACTCAACATGTAACTACTCAACAGCCAGCACACAATCGAGGACATAATGTGGACCTGGTCATCAATAAAAGACTAAATACTAATGTTATCCCATCTGACCATTTTCTGTTTACTTTGAAACCATTTTACCCACTGATCTAATTGCAAAAAAAAATGTCATAATAAAGTGTGTTATCATGAAGAATACAATTAAAAACTTTGTCCAGGTTTATCCTTCTGCTTCCACTTTACCCTGTCACTAAGTAGATCAGGTGGTTGATAATTTGCCTTTTAAAGTTGCAGACATCATTGATTCCATTGCTCCAGTTAAAGAGAAAATTGTCTCTGGGAAGATGAAATCTCCATGGAATAAATGCTCCAGCAGTTAGGAAAGAGAAGTGGGAGTGCCAAAAAGCTGAACGAAGTTGGCGAAAGAATGGACTCCAGGTTCACTATGAAATCTATAGAGACTTCACAGTTATAATTAACTAAAAGATGCAAGAGAATCTTTCTTCTCTGAGTTATCAACAGAAACATTAACAATGCTCGTGCCTTTTTTGCCACGGTCAGCAGGTAAGTTAACCATTCTATTTCCGTGGCTGATGAAAACCCAATCTAAAAAAGTTCTCCAATGACATTGCAACTGTACATCAACGCCAATTCCAGTACTTATTCCATTACCAGTAAGAATAAACTCTATAAAAATGCCCCAATTCTGCCAAATAAAATGCAATGTTTAGAAGAAACTGTTCAGCACCTCTTCCTGTTGCCTTGATGTTTTAACCACAGGTTTAACCTGTTTTAGAGTCTAATTTGATTCATATCATAAACACATCTCTTATGTTGGGCATTTTCCCCAAGGCCTTATAAACAGCCGTCATCAAACCAATGTTGAAAAGGAGAAGGTTGGACAAAGTAATGCTGCAGAACTACAGGGTCACCTAACCTTTTTCAGAAAAATTATTAAAAATGAATGCCTTCTTAACAAGCACCGTCTATTTCAATGTATTCCATGTCTTTCCATGCCAACCACAATACAGGGAAGCCTTCATTAAGGTGTTGAATAACATCCTTAGAATTTCAGACTCTGAGAGAACCACTGTTCTGGTTTTATTTTAAATTGGTGCAGCTTTTGATAGTGTTGATCACTTGATTTTTTTTTAGAACATCTGGGAAACTGGGTCGGCACTTCTAGTACCTCACTGGACTGGTTTAAATCCAGCTGAAGGACTACTATGTGTCAGCAGGGAACTTTAAATCAGATACCAGGAAAATCACATGCGGGGTTACCCAAGGCTCCATTCCAGGGCTCTTGCTTTTCAACATTTACATTCTCCTTGGCTCAGGTTATAGCAAAAAAAACATTGGCTAGATGCATAGAACAGATCAATATGTGGATGCACCATAATTGTTACGACTGAATTGAATCAAAACTGAGGTAATACTGTAATTTGTGGACCAAAGGAGGAGAGATCCATAGTTAGTACACAGTTTCAGCTGCTAAAGCAAGAAACCACTAATTATGGTTGTAATCTTGGTGTCTTGATGGACTAAGACGTGAACCTTCAGAGGCACATAAAAGCACTTAAAAGGTCAGCCTTTTACCACCTTAAGAACATTTCCAGGATTAAACGACTGATGTCCAAGCAGGATCTACAAAAAAAAAAAAATAATTCCTGCATTTATTGCAGGAATGAGTTTTCATGCATTCTTTAGTAGAATTGATTACTGAAAAAAGTAGGATTACTGCAGAAAAAAGAAGTGTCTTCTTAGGTTTGCCTAATAATTCCATGACACAGCTACAGCTGATCTAAAACGCTGCTGTCTGTGTTCTCACTAGAACTAAGAAATGGAGCACCTCAGCCCAGTTCTATAGTCCTTACAATGGCTCCTTGTAGTTAAGAGAATAGACTTTAAAATCCTTCTGTTCTAGCTCAAGCCTATTCTGTACATCCATAACTAGGACCAAACATGGAGAAGCAGCATTTACTTCCTATGCTCCATTTATCTGGAACAAACTTCCAAAATACTGTAAAAGAACTTAAAGGCTTAGTTATTTTAAGTCACAGTTAAAAACCCATTTGTTAGGAACCGTCTTTGACTGTTGAAGCTAAACTGTTAACTGAGGTATTATTAGTTTAAGGTGTTGGTCTAACCGTTATATTTACTTTACTACCTGCTTTTATAATACTTTTACCTTCATTTGCTTTTATTCTACTTTCATTTTCTCCTATTTTATTGTCTGATTCATGTAAAACACTTTGAATTGTCGTTTTACTAAACTGTGCTACAGTATACAAATAAATTTGCCTTGCCTTGACCGTACT